GATCAATGAGCCCACGCGCTCAGGCAGTGGCCAGGTCTTTCGAGGGGTGAGATACCGGGTCTGGGAGAACCCCCCCCAAGCCTGGCAAACCAGGCAGCACCTCCTTCTTGATCTCCACCTTGTCCAAGGCCTCCCTCATCCCTACGTTCCCCTGCCAGCCCAGACCAAGCTGCCCCCATCTCCCGGGCACGGCCGCTCCCCGGAGCCATTTGCCAGGGAGGGCTCCAGTGTCCTGGCGTTGCAGAGGGTGGCTCTTGCTTAGCTCAGGCTGGAGGCCACCGGCATCTGGCACTTCCCAGGCTGCAGATTTTTGTCCCTGACCCAAACCTTCCTGTAACCGAGCCCAGATGTGCTGGGGAATGATAACAACCGCCCCAGGGAACTTCTCCTTGCAAAGCCTTTTGCAAAGGGAAGAGCAGCGAGTGTTTCGCTCACACCACTGTGGGGGTGGTTTCTCCTTCCTGGCTCAGCCGCTAACAGTGAGACGCCTCGAACATGAAAAACGGAGGAAGGAGATCAAGGAGCAGTGGCACCGGGCACAGAGGAAACTGGTGAGCAACGGCCACAGAGCACGGGCTGGGCTTGCACTCCCCCAGCCCCCTCTGGAGTAGCCCCCTGACAGTACCCCTCTGGGGATGCTGGACCCCCCGCCCCTTTCCAGAAGCCTCTGCTCTGCTGGGGGATGCCGGAAAAACATGGGGTACAGGGGCCAGGAGAGGTGCCCTGGGGAGCCTGGGGGGGGCTAAGGATCCCCTCGCAGAGTTCAGCCCTCACCCTGGGCCACTCTTCGCTGGCAGCAAGAGGCAGAGGTCAACCTGCGCAAGGCCAAGCAGATATACATGCAGCGCAGTGAGGAGCACGAGAAAGCCAAGTACACGGCAGCGAAAGCAGAAGAAGAGCAGCAGAACACCACCAGCAGCATCACCACCAAAGCCCTGGACAAGAAGAGGCGGCTGGAAGAGGAAGCCAAGAACAAGGTAGGAAGGCAACAGCTCTGGACTCGGGCAGAACCTTCTCACTCCTTGCTGTACCAGCCCAAGGGCAGCCCTGAGCCGTGGACAGAACCGACCTCGCCACAGAGCCTCGGATGCGGTGCAGGATCGGGGCCCAAGCGCGGAGAGCTGTTCTCCTTGTTCTCCTTACCCATGGACTGTTCTCCTTGTTCTCCTTACCCATGGGCTGTTCTCCTTACCCATGGACTGTTCTCCTTGTTCTCCTTACCCATGGACTGTTCTCCTTACCCATGGGCTGTTCTCCTTGTTCTCCTTACCCATGGACTGTTCTCCTTACCCATGGGCTGTTCTTCTTGTTCTCCTTACCCATGGGCTGTTCTTGTTCTCCTTACCCATGGGCTGTTCTCCTTACCCATGGGCTGTTCTCCTTGTTCTCCTTACCCATGGACTGTTCTCCTTACCCATGGACTGTTCTCCTTGTTCTCCTTACCCATGGGCTGTTCCCACCCCTCGCTCTCCCGACTCTCAGGCAGAAGAGGCGATGGCCACGTACCGGACCTGTGTGGCGGACGCAAACACCCAGAAGCAGGAGCTGGAGGATACCAAGGTGAACTCCTTGCGGCAGATCCACGAAGTGATCAAACAGAGTGACCAGGTCATCAAGACGGTGAGTGGGGGTTGCTTGGCTGGGATGGCCCCCGGGGCAGGGGGGTTCAGAGCTGCCCCCCCAGCAGACCTGGCGTAGGCTGCTCCTAGTTCAGACGAGGTCCGGGTGGGTGCGGAGCTCTCTTCCCTCCCTCGTGCTCTGGAAAGCCAAGGCTCAAGGCTGTAGCCCTGATTGCTCATCTAACCTGGAGCCCCTCGCTCACCCCTGCACGCCGCCTCACGAAGCTCACGTCTGGTTTTCTCCACGTTATTTTTAGGCCACGATCTCCTTCTACCAGATCATGCACATGCAGACGGCCCCGCTGCCCGTCAACTTCCAGACGCTGTGCGAGAGCAGCAAGCTCTACGACCCCGGGCAGCAATATGCCTCCCACGTCAAGCAGCTGCAGCGCGGGGACGAGCCTGACGTCCAGTACGACTTCGAGCCCTACGTGTCGCAGAGCGCCTGGTAGGAAAGCAGAGGGAGCAATCCCTCGTCCGCTGTCGCCGGCATCCTTCCCCCGGGCCAGCACCATGCTCTCCCGCGGAAGCCAGCATGCTTTTGGTGTGCCTGAAGGCTGCTCCTGCTGGGAAAGCTGGGCTGGAGCAGCTGGGAATTCCTCTCGTACCCTCCGATGGGTGAGACAGGCTCGCTGCTGCCTGAGACAGGGGACTCTGAATCCCATGACAGGGCCAGCGGCCGTGAATAAGGTTTTCAGGCATCCTTCCTTCTCATCTGCTCAGCCGTTCCCTTTTCTCCTTCCTTCTGCCCACCAGGTCCCCCTTTACTCGGACACGGAAAGGCAGCTTCAACGCCAATGACTTCTCAACAAACGCCGGCTCTGATGGGGCCGGGCTGCCCAAGGATGGGAGCGGCTCGGAAGGAGGAGCAGGAGCCAAGGAGCAGCAGAGCGGGGCCGTGGTGGCGGAGCGGAGAGGTGAGCCCGGAGCAGAGAGGAGCCTCTGCCTCCTCTCCCCGGGCAGGAGCAAAGCGGGACCTCCCTGGGTACCCAGGGGGCAGCAGTAGGACAGGCTGGAAGCTGAAATTCCTGAAGGACACAAAATCCGATCCGTAGGGCTTTTTTGCTTTTGCTCGTGCTACCTAACAGCCCATTCTGCACCTTCCCATCTCCTCTGCTGGACGTGTTCCTGAAGGCGTCACAGCCCCACCGCCCCCCCAGCAGCCCAGCAACAGAAGCCAAGCAGCTCCCTTCAGTAATTTAAGCATCTCCCAGAGTCCAGGCTCTTCTCCCGTGTTTCTCTCCTGAACGCAGGAGGCAATCCCAAATGGACTATGTGTTCTCTGCAGGCGGGAGGGGACACCAGGTCCACAAATCCTGGCCGACCACCACCACTGAGGCTGACAGCAGCCTGGATTCCAACACAGGTAGATCCCAAAAACAGCCCCGGGCAGGCTGTGCTTCCCCTTCCAGTACAGCCAGGCTACAGCCAGCGCGCTGGGGCTCGGCAGGACCTGTCACTTCTTTATCTGCCTTGTAATAACGCTGGAATTAACTGCTCTGATCCCAATCCCCGATGGGATGGGATGGGATGGGATGGGATGGGATGGGATGGAACGGGGAGGGGATGGGGATGGAATGGGGATGGGAATGGAATGGACATGAGATGGGGATGGGAGTGGGGATGGGAAAGGGAATGGGATGGAGATGGGGATAGGGATGGGATGGGGATGGGATGGGGATGGGAGTGGGGATGGGAAAGGGAATGGGATGGAGATGGGGATGGGGATGGGATGGGGATGGGGATGGGGATAGGACAGGGATGGGGTGGGGGAGCACTGGCCTTTACACCCCTCTGGCCACAGCCTGCTCCACGGCGAGGCGCGGTACGGGCACGCACAGCCCCTGCTAAGCTCCCCAGTGCTCATTTTCTCCGGAGCGTGGCCCCAGCGGCACAGGGCCCACCACTGCTTGCTGCAGGAGTCAGCCACGAGCGTCAGAGCGCGCTCAGAAACAACTCCGCCACCATCTCACGGGCTGTGGCTCTTCCTTTGGCAGGTGAATTCAGCCATAAACTCCAGCGCTTGTCTTCCAACGGCACCATGTCCTCCAGCGAAGAGCTGGAAGAGAAGGATGAGAACGCCACCCCCTTTGAGCAGAGTAGGTGACAGCGGGGGGGGGGGGCTGAGGGGCTCCAGGGCAAAGCTAATGTCAGGTTGGCTCTTCCCAAACTCAGTAGTTCTGGGGGTGAACGGAGCAACTGCTGGGACGATACCCGATGGTGCCGCCCCAAGGAGCCCAAGAGCATTTCCTTTACCGAGGGATGGGCTCTGCTCAGACCAGTGGGACCAGATGGGCTCAGGCTGCACCCCTCGGAGCACGGGCCATCTGCCCTGCTGCCAAAGAACCCGTGTCCCACAGGCTGCCTGCGCTCCGGCAGCCACCCCTCTGCCCCGGCAGCCACCCCTCTGCCCCGGCAGCCACCCCTCTGCCCCGGCAGCCACCCCTCTGCCCCGGCAGCCACCCCTCTGCCCCGGCAGCCACCCCTCTGCCCCGGCAGCCACCCCTCTGCCCCGGCAGCCACCCCTCTGCTCCACCAGCCACCCCTCCGCTCCAGCAGCTCCAGCAGCCACCCTCCGCTCCGGTAGCCACCCCTCTGCCCTGGCAGCCACCCCTCTGCTCCAGCAGCCACCCCTCCACTCTGGCTTTGCTTAAGCTCAGGTCCCCAGGCGCCGGGATGCAGCTGCATTTCTTCTTGTTCCTCTTGTAGGCATCAATGGGATCACACCGGAGATGACGGCTCCAACAGGGCCCTTCCGAAACGTTGGCTTATCCAAGGCTGCCCAGACTCATCGGCTGAGGAAGCTCCGTACCCCTTCCAAGTGTCGGGAGTGCAACAGCTACGTTTACTTCCAGGGAGCAGAATGCGAAGAGGGAAAGTGGGGAGCGGTGGGGGGGGAGGGGGTGGAACCGATGGGGGATGTCCCCCCCCGAGCGGGGTGACCTCGCCTGCGTACGCCCCTGCGCTTCCCTGCCCTCGGCTCAGCGCCACACGCGCTGCAGCAGCGCATCCCGGGGCAGCTTTCCCCCCGGGGGGCACAGCTTTGCTGGAGAAGCCCGGCCAGGAGCCCTGGCACACACGTGGTCCACGCCGTGGGTGCAGCCACAGCCAGATCTGTGTTCCCTGCGGAAGCAGCGGTGCCAGCATGAGCTTCGGGGCAGGAACGCCTTAGTGCAGCTCTAGCCTATGTTTAGGAGACGTTCCCAGCGGTGGCTGCTTTTTTCCCCCAGTTCTAGGACCGGTTCATGCTCCATGGTGGCTTGGGGTCCATCCCCCTGGGGCAGGACCATCGCTCCCAGGGCTGAGAGGGGCTCGGCCCCGTGTGGGGTGAGGCTCTTGAGGCGACGGGATCCCCGGTGACGCCTCCAGCAGCAGCGGCTGGGAACGGGGCGCTCCGAGCGGCTGCCTTGGGCCACGCTGGGGAGGGGTCCACGTGCTTCGCGTGGGCCCCGCGGTGTCCTCAGGGAAGGCTCTTTTCCCATCTGCCGCCCTGCTCAAGGAGCCCCTCCTTCTCCGAGTGACGCCGGGCGTCTCCCAGTGCCGCCCTTCCACCCCCCCTGCATTTCCCCGTGTTTTCCAGTGCTACCTGGCCTGCCACAAGAAGTGCCTGGAAACCTTGGCCATCCAGTGCGGGCACAAGAAGCTCCAAGGGAAGCTGCAGCTTTTTGGGCAAGACTTCACCAAGGCTTCTCAGGGCAGTGTGGACGGCATCCCCTTCATCATCAAGAAGTGCATTTCTGAGATCGAGAAGCGGGCACTGAAAACCAAGGTGACGCACGGTCCCTCCCCCTCCCTCGGCTGGGCGGGCTCAGCTGCCCCCTCTCGAAATGCCCTTTGCCTGGGGATGGCCACCAGCAGACTGGCTTTTGGAAGCCAGAAAGTCCCAGGTGATGAACTTGGCCCTGACCCCCCAATCTCTGACCTTGGGAATTCACTTCTCTTCCCTCCCTTTCCTCTGAACCAGGAACGAGAGAGACACCT